CGCAGTACGCACTAACCTAACCACCATCCCATCATCCACCACTAGCCATCACTTGTTGTCATCCCGTTCTGTGATCCGTTCCACCCCACACGAATCAGCCGAGATACTAGTCAGTCGGGCTAGCGCTATCCTCCCCTCCCTTCCTGACTGCACAGCGCTAAAACCCAGAGCCGAGACTTCCCGAGCGCGACCTCTGACCCCACGCGGTCCGAAGGGTCAGCCGATGCCTAAGGGCGCGCCGCGCGCCGGCCACCCGGATAGCCTCTGCCGAGTCTCCCTAGTCCCTTTCATACACCGTTTACTACGCGCTCGATTCATTCATGATTCTGTGTTTCCGCGTCCCTCTCGCTAGGTGGCACCATGGATGTCATAGGCGATCCCAGGAAGATTGCGGCCAGAATACCCCAAACGGCAGAAAATGAGGTTTTTGGTGGATATCTCGGAAAGTATTTGGCATACAACGATGAAATTTCACAGTCTTGTGGTAAATGTGCATACACATAATCCGGGTTGATACTTATGCATTTAAACATTATATAGGACCAGATATGACCGAAAAAGCAAAACCAACAAGACTTTTACTGGAGAGCCGTACATAGGTACATATGATGTATTTACCATGGAAAACAAAGGGTTAGAACAATATTGCATTTTATTAACACGGACGCTAATAGACTGTTAAAAGCATATTTTATAACAACAAGCTAAAACAACACAAAGACGCACATGTAACAGCACACAATGCGCGGTCATCTTATGACATCGCTTTTCACACATGATCTCGGTCACTTTCGCCATCACTGCAGCTGCTGCCGGGCTCCCCGGCAGCACGTTGACGAAGGAGAGCGTGCACCTCGGGGGACAGTGGACCGAGACGCTTGCTTCGTTCATGCCGCCTCTCTTCCTGGTGCATGCTGCTCAGCAGTGGATCGCTTGACACCAACAGACGGCCAAACAGGTCCGACATGGTGTTCAGTCTGCTGTTCTTCCGTGTGTGATGCAGCCGGAACAGCCGGATCTCCTTGTGCGTGGCTTCACTCGCCTCCTCACTCATCGCTCCTATTGGCAGGGCCAGCTCCACGGACACTGCAGCCGAGTGAATCAGGAGACGGTGAAGAGTAGGCGGCATGGCGTACCAGTGGTACAAGCGCACATACAGACGCGCTGTCTCGAGACAGTAGGCTGAGAGCGCAGGCACAGAAAGAGGCTCGCAAGACGTGACCGCCTCTAGTACCACGCGGAGCCGACGGATGAGTTCTTCGTTGACTCCCGTCGCTGCTGCAAACTTTTCTGGAGACTTGAAAGCTTTGCGGGCGGTGTTGCCGTCATTGGAATTGCCAGATTCACCACAGCGTGGTTCATCTGCCCGGAGTCCGAGCGATTCTCGTAGCCGACCTTGGACTTCCTTCTTGTGTGTTGCTACACTTTCCCTATCCATCTTCTTAACATTCCTGCGTGGTTCATCAAGGCAGAGACGATACCCCGCCTTGAGAATGGCCTTGAAGACTCTTATCCATGTATGCAGTGGGCTCAGGCCGAATGTCATGTTGCTGACAGGTCGCAGCATGACGGCATCGATGTCGTTGACGACACTGGGGAGTGCACCACACATGCTGCATGCCTGACTGCTCGTGCCGGTCAGCGCGTTCACCACTTTGGTGTCAACCATTGTCATCGACAGCCCGAAGGACACTGAGGCGCTGACGTCTTGAAGAGGCTGGAGTTCGGCTGTCTCCCTGGTGACGTGTGCTTCGACCTCCTGCAGCAACGCTGTCGTCTCCTTGGCAAACTCGATGGAGATGGGCCGACAGAAGCGTGTGGAGCTAGGCGTGCTGTTGCGCCACACGACAGTTCCATCAGCAGCAGAGAGCTGCAGAGGAACGAGAGACGTCACTAGAAGCTGGTCGTCATCCCGGCTCAGCCCAGCCTGTTTGTAACGGCTGTGGCTCGTGCTGCCGTCTACGCCCCACTTGACATCAAGGGTCAGTTGAGGAGCGGTCTCTGAAGCCTCCCGGGATGCAGCTGTCCATTCCTTTACAGGCTGCAGCTGCATCAGCCGCTTGGCGGTGTGGTGCAGCAATCCCTGCAGCGATACCTCTGCACGCTCCGGCGTCACCTGAATCTGCTCTGGAGTCGGCGTGCAGTCCGCCTTGGCTAGCCGGAGCTGATCATAGCAAGGGTTGATGTCAGCGCCCTGTTGTTTGGCGCTCTGCTGCAGCCGAACATACTGCCCCTTGCTGAGACTGAGGTCCAGTACCAGCCCAAGTGCCTCCTGAGCGGTATACCTGACAGGCTCGTGCTGGGGCTCGGCGAGCACTGCAGCTGCCAGTTTTGAGCCCGTCTCTGGCGAGCTCAGCAGCTCAATAGCACGTGCCACTGTTCTGTGTCCGTTGCTGTAGGCTGCTGACGCCGCAGCGAAGGCCAGTTTTTCCCATGGCTGCTGCCGTAGGTCGTGGGTTTCGCGGAGTTTGCTGGACCGCGAGAGCTCACTGAATGAGCGTTCAGAAAGAGTGGCAACTCTAGGCCTGGTCCGACAGTCATGACCAGGCAGTCATAGCTCCCCGTCGAGCCATTCGCGATTTAGGCTTAAAAACCTCGACTCACGGCGATCTGCAGCATTCCACTTGGCTCGCAAGTGGCTAGTAAAATGCGAAATTTTACCGGTACTCTCCGAGAAGTCTGACTCTGGAAAGGCCTTGCGAAGAAACTCACAAACTACACCTGCCGATAAAGAATTTACCCCAACAGAACGTGCCCATTCAAAAACATCTCTTTTCTTAATGCACATGATTCAGTTTGGTGCCCAGGAGCCGCTCAACGGACGACCTGACCTAGCCTGTTTACGAGTCGGAATGTCGAGCCAGGCTGCCCCGGAGCCTCGTGACCTAGCTGACGTCACAGGTTAGCCACGCCCACAGCCGAACAGGTCGAGTCAAGTGCACGTCCATTTAGACTTGTGCTACCGCAACCTGAATACTAAAAAAAAAACTATTTTGCATTACCACGATGTATTCTTCAACGGAACCGGGGGTGGGGTGGAGGGTGGGGGTGGGGGGGGGAGGAATTACCCTTTACATTTGGCTTCTAATTGGGTTAGAACTTCGGTACAAAGCCAAGCACGCTGCTCTCCCCTAACGAAATTCAATGCCACCCGATTCTAAGTGTTGGGGGTTAAATTTGGGTTTTTGGGTCTATACCGGATTGAGGGATATAAGTTTATTCCGATTCTCTCGCTTGCATTGCAAGAAGATAGGCACGCAAATAAGCATTAAACACCACCATGTAAGAGAAACTGCCGATTTTGATCGAATATGACATGGTATGACATCACAGCCGAGTGGGCTTGCTCGGTATAAAACCAAAAAATTCGATGTTATATGTCTAACAATTGTACTTAGTCATGCCAAACTCCTTTCCGATTAGTTAACGTTTTCTAGAGATATCTGCGAAAAACTTAGTACTTGCAATAATTGCGCACACCCCACGTAACGGTAAGGATTGAGAAAAACGTCTGTAACTCCGTGAATCGCAAAAAGTCGCAGACAATTTTAACAGGGTATTGAGAACAAACATTAGGCTACTAAGTAATGGTGTTTTTGTGGCCGGATCTCGCGGACAGTAAAACATGCGCATTGCCAAACGTTGTACACAGTCTTGAACTGATGCAGTCAAAAAGGTGTAATGCAAAATATTATAAAAATATAGAGAAGCTTCAAAAGTTGAAAGTATGGCATGCATATTACTTCGCAAGGAATGAGGTTTCAATAAAAATTAGAGTTTTCAATATATTCAACTTTTGTCTTGATTTACAGCTCTAAATATAACTAGGATCAAATCACGACCAGGCACCAGAGCTCAGCCTCTCCAAAAAGGTCGTGTTTGGACGTGTGTGGTTTGAAAGTGTTTGGCTTGATGTTACAAATAGTGTCACATTTCGGGTGCTGGGATATTTAGCTACAAAATACACCAGTATTTGTTTATATTTCCCACCATTTTGTTTCGGGTCCGTGAAGCGCTAGAAAGCATGGATCGCCTACAGTGCGACGGCGGCCTGACCTTACGTGACCCTTAGGGGAAATCCGAAGCCAACAAATTTTGAGAATTAGGGAGTTTGATTAGTTCTGTAAGTTTCATCTACCTTTGATAGATCTCCTTGCATTGATGGAGTTGCGATGTTGCGACGTCTTCGAGACCGTGCAGAGGTTAACTTATGACGCCATAGTTCAGTGACCTGACCTGACCTGAAAATGAGGTTGGTGCCACAAAATCCTACTTGAATCAAAGGTCAAGTATGTCAGCTTACAACTCTCCATCACCAGCGCGCTTACCCCTACTTTGCATTGCAGCCATGGTTAACCGCACATTTACGATAAAAGATTTGGTCTGTCCGAGATTCGAACACAGGACCTTAGGATGTGTCAAAAACATGGGGTCATATATGGACGAATATCTCGAAAACGGTTGGATGGGCTTGAACTTTTCGTCCCAAAAAAGTTGTAGCTATATTTAAACATACTTTATAGTTATGTGGCTGCCCACACTACCAGACCTTGAAAACCGAGCGCGAAAAGTCATTTTAACACGCAACCCTAGTGGGCTAGTAGGAAAAGTCACGCCCATGCTGCCATATAACTTTGGAGGGGGCTGGTTAAATCATCAAAGAAATAGGCAAAACACGCCCTTTATTTTTAAATGTTTGCGCTACTATTACTAAGTTTTTGTCCCCGGTAAGATATAGGATAGACTACAAATTTTCTAGAGGTGTTGCTTCCCAAAGCACGTTATCATATGGCGAATGATTTGGCTGTGGCACACGCTTGAAAGTTAGGGGGCAGGTCCCTAATTTATGTACACAGTCCAGGTGGTATATAGTGGTCTATGATGACTGTCTGTATATAGGCGAGGTGCTACTTTGTCTGATTTGAATCAGTGTGGATGTGATGGTCGGGGGCGGTGGACGTGTCTGCGCTGAGCGTGCTGACGCCGTTCGTCGCTGCCAGGACATGAAGGAGAGGTACGAGTCGCTGGCAGCCACCCGCGCCGACCTGGTGCAAAATGCCGTCAACCTGCAACAGCTGCTGCTCAAACTCAAACACTCCGAGGTGAGCCAAAACGCACCCAACAAGTCGAAATGTTTCGCGACAACTTTTATGTACCTACAGTGGATCTAGTAAGGATCTCCAGACGTAACTACAGGGTCTTTCATAATGAATGTTACTTTTGAACATTTAGTTAGGAGCTCTTAATTTATCACCTCCGCGTGAATTTTATATGCTTATTGTTGCAAATTGATTAGGGAATTGTCCCAAAAAAATAAAAAATTCACAACGCCAATTTTCCTTCACGGAAAAGCAGAGTATGTCGACACCACTAAAACGCATTACGGATTACGGTCGACGGACAAGTCTTCATCCATTGGCTCTCCCCTGGGTCAACACTGAACGGGGTGGCTTACCTTTAGGCTGCTCAAGGAATGTTTCTGCCTCAGGTCAGGGTCAGGGACAAGGTTCAAAGAGACGGCCTGTGGTTCCAGCAGGATGGTGCCACAGTGCACACCATGGCAGCTGTTGCGCCAGTGGCTGATCGATAATTTCGAAGAGCGGGTTATCAGCCGCCTCACCGAGCGACCATGGCCACCACGGAGTCCTGACCTCTCCCCGCTGGACTACTGGCTTTGGGGAGTCGCATTGGCAGATCTGAGACAAAACCCTCCTGCAGCCATCCACTGTGAACCACAGTGGAGAGGTTTACTGGAAGCCTGGACCCAGACGTTGTGAGGCGCGGGGTCGACACCTTCGTCAGAGGGCCGAAACGTGTGCCTTAATTAAGGGCGATACAGTGGAAAATTCCTGAGGAGCATTAAAATGAAAGTTGTGTGTGCAAAAACGCTAATGTGTTTCTGTTTCATGTGATGGTACATATTACATGAGGAACATATATGTCCTGAGAAATAGCTCTTTCAAAAGTAACACTCATTATGAAAGACCCTGTGGATGGCGTTGAGCCTTAGTCGAGTCCATGTGATATTCGAGGAGAGGTCACTACCGAGCTGGGCCCGATGGGGGGTGCGCGGGCGGGGAGGGTGGCGAGGTCACGGTGCGGGTGACCTGTCAAACAGCCCCGGCGCGGTGGGTCACTGCCGCAGGCAAATGGCGCACTCCTGCGCTGTTCCATATCGCGGTGGTGGGCCGGGCGGCCGGTTAGCTTGGATGCTTGGAAGGAAAGGATAATAAATGAGGCATGGGTTTGCTGTGGCCGGACCGGTTCACCTGCTGTCAACTAGGATGCACCCAAAGTAAGTAATGCCATAGTTAATAAATAACTATTATTTATTATTTATTACATTTACATTTATTTATTTAGTTATTTCTTACACTATGGTAATGCAAATGTGATGTTGGTAATGCAGCTGGCAATGGAATGCCAGCGAATGATCCGAGCGCCCAGTAGCTAGTTATAAGGTAATCCTTATTATCATAATCGTAAGATAATGTATGTCTCCTGAAATTTTCATTGAATATAATTCAAGCACTAGAAAGATCGTATCGTTCGCCAGTTCTTTGACCGGCTGGCGTTTTTTTTTGCGTCTTGCGTCCCTTGGGCAAATAATTATCACGGTTTTTTTTTACTGGTAAGACTGGCCTTTTAGGTCGAATGAAGTCGCTAACAGAAGATGAGGAAAAGTGGACGAATACTACCTTTTTGCGCATGAAGTCTTGAGTTAAAAAAGCTTAGTTATTATGCGTGTAAGCTAAAATAAAATAAGATCATTCAATAAAAATATTTAACCCGAAATTAGCTTCTGTTTTGTCTGACCATGATTGCGTGTAAGATCCCGGTCTAACCTGGTTCAAACCGGCCCAACCTGGTTCGGCTCCCCTTTTTAATATAAATTTGGCCTGAACCTTTTGAACGGAAGAAATCACAAGGACAGAGTCCCCGCTATGCTGAGCTTGTTGCGTTGACCCTGCCATCTGCCCTCCGATCAAGCAACTCCTGGTCTATGACAGAATTTAGAGTCCAAGTTTTAACGTGCGCACATAGCCGCGCATGGCCGGTCCCCTCACTGACTTCGCCTGGCAGCGGCCTGCCGTCAGGAGGCTTAAAAACGTCAAGCGCTGGTCGCGTTTCGAACCCGGACTTTTGAAACCAGGACGTGCGCTCTCACCACACGGAGTCGAACGCTTCGTAGCGTCGAGGTTGGGTAACAGCTATGAGCTGAATGTGATGTCGTGAGTTCGAGCCCCACTCCCGGGGCTAGTTTTATCTAGACACGAACTAAAAATTTCCTTCTACTGCAACACAGACAAGCACAATGACACCCCCCCCCCCCCCCAATATCCTCCCAATAAAGTCAAAAGTGTCGCTTATAAATGTTAGCTAAGTTTCATTTTTTAAGAAAATATTTTTTGATCATTTTCAGTTTTCTGGAGCCATTTCAACTCTGCTTTCTATTCTGATTCTCTTCGACCCGATAAAACCCACGAAAACTGAACTTGCCAAATGAAAAAATATCAAACTCAAATAACAGTTTAGAAAAGGGCCTAAGACATCGTCATCATGCAACTATCGACTGAATAGTTGCATGCTATGAATACGTGCTAGATTTCAATTATCATTGTTAAACATTTTGGCTGGAACTGGCACTGCCTCTCGCTTGCCCATTTGTTTGAGATAATGATTCTCTTCAGTCGCATTCTTCAGTCGCTGGTTCCACATCAACAGGATACCACCATACCGGAGTGAACGCACCTGCAACCATCATCCCCTCCCCTCAGTCTCCGCGCAGTGGCGGTCGGCCCTGGGCGGCCCACTCCCGGCGCTACGGACGCCCCCATGCGCCGTGATACCGCGTCACTCCCCCTCCCTCCTTCCCCCACAATGACCGGTGACCTGACTTCCCTCGGGATTTGGACTCGCCCTACCCCGACCGTAGCGCCACGTGGTGGCTCTGGAGATCTTAAATAGACCCTCTGTACTTTTGGGTCATTCCACGTCAAATCGATCACGAAGGTACCCGACCCCCTTTGATTTTGATGAAATTTGGTATGCTCTTAGCACCTATAAAAACAAAAACATCCAGCAAGTTTTAGACCTGGATGACCTCTAGGGTCGAAGTTATAGGTCATGAAAGGTCAATGATTTTTGCCGACATTGCAGGTTTGAAGTGCCCATTGCTCTGTAATTAAGAGTGCAGGGAAGCTGCGGTAAGCGCCATTAGAGAGGCAGTTGATGCAGGCCTTATAAATAATTTTGTATTTGTCGATGACCTTTCAATGACCTTTGACCTGACTAGGTCAAACTGAGTATTTTTAAATTTGGCCATGTTCTGTATCTCGGATGCTGACGAAAATTTAGCAGAGGATGTATCATAGTATCGAAAAGAAGTGGCGCAAAAATATTTTTTTGGGAAATTATTGTTGAAAAAGAAATAAATCCTTATATAAGGCCATGCGCCGTATACGAAATTTGCCCTGAGGCTATTTGACGAATGCCGGCTAATTTCGTGCTCCTTGTTGGTCCAATTGGGCTAAAACTTGGTATACGCAATACCCTGTTGGTGTGCAGCACATCAATGTATTGAAAAAGGTTTGACTTTATAGGTCAAAGGTCAAAGGTCATCACCAATTGACGTCATACCATCTATATTTTCTGCATGCGATTTATCCACTTTTTATCGAAAGAAAATTCATGCGTTGTTGTTGGTCTATAAAACTGATGAAATACTACCAGCCATGTATCGGAACAACTTGAATACCTATCACATGAGGTCATTAAAAAATATTTTTAATCCGCGGATGACTGGGAGGATACAAAGAGCCCCCCACTCGTTTTTCTACAATATCTTCTAAACCACTAGACGTACCAACATGAAATCTTCAGTACCTTCAGTCGCATCGATTTGACACCTTGTGTCCAAATAAAAACGTCGTAGCTATCATAGGTCGGCCGGAAATCACGTCGGAGTGACGCATGTTAGTCTGAATTTAATGCAAAACAATGAAATACAGCTCGTTGCCTTGTCAGCGTGGCCACGGACCTTTTTGGTATGTTCTGGCGTTACCCTTTTTCCATTGAAAAAACGTACAGAATTGAAGCTTACTTGAACCCAAATAAAACTGGCGCAATGTGTACCGCCACCTTCAGCCTCAAAACGTTCCTTGTTTCAAGCCCTATCAATATCAGTCGGCTAATCGTGCATTTCTTAAAAACTGAAGTGGTACCTGGGGGGTAGAAGCACCCAAAGTCGGGTCTCTTTAACATTGGGTTGGTGGTGAAATTCTATGATTTGGGACTTTGCTGGCTTCCTCGTCTTACATTATATCAGTGGGTACGCCACCTTCAAGCTATACTGATAGAGCTATCAATTCTAAAACTACTGATGCTTGTTTCGGCATCATTCGACAAATACCCAACTGGTACCTTGGGGGTAAAAAAAAACGACTGGAAAATATAGAGGAAGGTCATGGGTTCAAATCTCATCGCCGACGGAGTTTTTGCGTGTTCGGGTATTAACCCGCGAGTTTTTTTTTTGGGGGGGGGGGGCGTTAAAGGTAGTGTGCCCCCTTCCAATGATTTCCCATTTTATTTTTCCTAGGATAAGAAGCTTGTGTTTTTACCTAATATTGCAAAAAAATCAAAAATGTGCCTAAAATAGTGCTTTTTTCGCCTAAAAGTTTATCGGTTTTTCGATATGTATAACAACTGTAGTGGGCTGACCTGCAAACAGGCGTCGGCAACAATCGCGAATGCGGCGCACATGTGACAATAAGCAAAGGTCATTATAGAGTTACGACGTACGGGAATGAGTTATCAGCTGTCTAATCGTAGACAACACAATAACCCTGTTTACATAGCATTTAGACATTTCCCTAGCTGGCTTAGAGATATCACAAAACTGGCCAGTGACCTTTTGCAACTACACAAGTGACTGTATTCAATGCTACGAAGAGCGCTTTCTCGGAATTCAGGCATAATACATCAATAAATTGCAATAAATAGGTCATTTTCGGCGCGAAAAAAGGGTACTATTTTATGCGTAAAAAGACTATTTGCAAGCACCATATCTGCTGCCATATCTCCCTGCACCCCTTCGTAAACA